TAGCTTAGCTTAGCTTAGCATAGCTTACCTTACCCTGTTTAGCTTAGCGCAGCGCAGCATAGCGCAGCGCAGCATTAGCACAGCATCGCATAGCATAGCCAAGCATAACATAGCATATCATAGCATAGCTCAGCATAGCATAGCATAGCATAGCATAGCGCAGCATGGCATAGCATAGCATTGCTTAGCATAGCATAGCGCAGCATTGCATAGCATAGCACAGCACATCATAACATAGCAGAGCATAGCATATCGCAGCATAGCATAGCATAGCATAGCATAGCATAATGCAGCATATCATAGCATAGCATAGCATAGCATAGCATAGCGCAGCATAGCATCTGGAGGAAGCAGGCAAAGGCAATGCAAAGCAAAAGCAACACCAATGCGAAAGTGTAGATGTAGATGTAGGTGTAGGTGTAGATATGGATGTAGATGTAGATGTAGATGTAGGTGTAGATGTTGGTGTAGATGTAGATGTAGATGTGAGTCTCGCCGTTGATGTTGATGTAGATGTAGATGCAGGTGCAGATGTAACTGTAGCTGTCGGTGTAGATGTATATGTTGCTTTCCGAAATGCTCCAGCTCCTAGGTAGGGTCGCACTGGGATAATCATCATCATCATCATCACCACCATCATCATCATTCCCTACCTAGGCTCTGCCTAGAAGGGTTCTTACTCTCTGGGCTTAAAGGGGCTGGGCAGTGGAAAGCGCCCCGGGCGGTTCCCCCAGTATCCGCCCCGCGGTTCCCCCAGTTACGTCCCCTTAGCTTAGCGTCGCTTATCTCATCTTAGCTTAGCCTAGCTTAACTTGGCGTAGCTTAGCTTAGCTTAACTTAGCCTAGCCTAGCTTAGCTTAGCTTAGCCTAGCCTAGCCTAGCTGAGCTTAGCTTAGCTTAGCTTAGCTTAGTTCAGCCTAGCTTAGCGCAGCGTAGCATTAGCATAGCATAGCATAGCATAGCGTAACATAGCGCAGCATAGCATAGCGCAGCATAGCATAGCATAGCATATCATATAATAACATAGCATAGCGCAGCAGCAGCAGCATAGCATGGCATAGCTTAGCATAGCACAGCGCAGACTAACATAGCATAGCATAGTATAGCATAGCACAGCATAGCGCAGCATAGCATAGCATAGCATAGCATAGCATAACGCAGCATAGCGCAGCATAACATAGCATAGCATAGCATAGCATAGCATGGGTCAGCATAGCATAGCCTAGCATAACATATCATAGCGCAGCATAGCATAGTATAGCATAGCAAACCGCAGGATATCATAGCTTAGCAGATCGCAGCATAGCATAGCATAGCATAGCCTAGCATAATATAGTGCAGCCTAGCATACCCTAGCATAGCATAGCATACCATAGCTTAGCATAGCGCAGCATAGCGCCGCATAGCATAGCATAGCATAGCATAGCACAGCATAGCATAGCATAGTACAGCATAGCTTGACTTTGCATAGCACTGCGCAGCATAGCATTGCATAGCATAGCTTAGCTTGTAGATGCGAGTGTAGTTGTAGATGTATATGTAGATGTAGATGCATGTGTACATGTAGCTGTAGGTGTAGATGGGGATGTAGGTCTAGATGTAGATGTAGGTATTAAGCTGTACTACTACTACTACTACTACTACTACTACTACTACTACTACTACTACTACTGCTACTACTACTAGTACGACTACTACTACTACTACTACTACTACTACCACTACTACTACTACTACCACTACTACTACTACTACTACTACTACTACTACTACTACTACTACTACTACTACTACTACGACTACGACTACGACTACGACTACGACTACGACTACGACTACGACTACGACTACGACTACGACTACTACTACTACTACTACTACTACTACTACTACTACTACTACTACTACTATTACTACCGCTACGGCTACAACTGCGACGATGAGGAGAAGGAGGAGGACGGCGTTTACCGTTACTACTGATATTGCTCTCTTCGGAGCTCCAATTCTTAGGTAGGGTCGCTCTGGGATAATCATCATCATCATCAGCAGCAGCATCATCATCATCAGCATCAGCATCAGCATCAAAGCAACGGCAAAACAACAGCAGCAACAGCAAAGCAAAGCACAAGCAACGCAAAGCAAAGCAAAGCAAAAGCAAAAGCAAAGCAAAGGAAAGGCAAAGTAAAAGCAATGTGCGACAGGTGCCGAGCTAGCCTCGATGGCCGGACCAGAGCCCCCGCAAGCAGTTCTGAACAGCCTGCAGCTCTTGCAGGAGCCGCGATCAGTGTTGAACCTAGTGCAAGCAGTGCTGAACAGCCTGCAGCACTTGCAGGAGCCGCGAGCAGTGCTGAACAGCCTGCTGTCGCTGGGTGCACAGCAAAGCAAGACAAAGCAAAGTGCAGCACAGCATAGCATAGCATAGTACAGCATAGCTTAACTTTGCACAGCACTGCGCAGCATAGCATAGCATAGCATAGCTTAGCTTGTTGATGTGAGTGTAGTTGTAGATGTATATGTAGATGTAGATGCATGTGTACATGTAGATGTAGCTGTAGGTGTAGACGGGGACGTAGGTCTAGATGTAGATGTAGGTATGAAGCTGTACTAGTACTACTACTACTACTACTACTACTACTACTACTACTACTACTAGTAGTACTACTACTTACTACTACTACTACGACTACTACTACTACTACTAACTACTACTACTACTACTACTACTGACTACGACTACTACTACTACTACTACTACTACTACTACTACTACTACTACTACTACTACTACTACTACTACTACTACTACTACTACTACTACTACTACTACTACTACTACTACTACTACTACTACTACTACTACTACTACTACTACTACTACTACTACTACTACTACTACTACTACTACTACTACTACTACTACTACTACTACTACTACTGCTGCTACTACTACTACTACTACGCCTACCACTACTACTATTACTACCGCTACTGCTCCAACTGCGACGATGAGGAGAAGGAGGAGGATGGCGTTTACCTTTACTACTAAGATTGCTCTCCTCGGAGCTCCAATTCTTAGGTAGGGTCGCTCTGGGATAATCATCATCATCATCAGCATCATCGTCATCATCATCAGCAGCATCATCATCAGCATCAGCATCAGCATCAGCATCAGCATCAGCATCATCATCATCATCATCATCATCATCATCATCATCATCATCATCATCATCATCATCTCGCGTTCGTTGAGGGTGAAATAGTGTAAGGCGTGTGAATGAGGGGAGGTCTTCCTGGCCTCATCTCTTTGTCCTCTTTCAGATGTCTCATATGCCAGGTGTCCTCCTGGCATGACCTCCTCTCTCTCTCCCTCCTCCGCGCCCCCTCTCTCCCCCTCCCCCTCGTTCGCGGAGACAACGGCGGTTCGCGCGTCGCGGCTGGGACCGCTGGGCCGTGCTTCCCCAGCGCGCGGCGCGAGGGCGCGAGGACAGCGGCGCGATGCGCGATGCGCGATACGCGTAGTCGGGTGACAGTCGATCCGAGGTATCAGGTCGAGGTCGTTTCGGGGAGGGTATCCTGATGTTCCTCGTGTCTGTTGGATGTTCTTGTGCATCCTGGGGAGGGTACCCTTGGATGTTCTGTGTGTTTAAGCTGGTGGAGGGTCTCATGTTCTTGAAGGATGTTTTTCTGTCCTAGGTCCAGCTGTACTTGGGTGGGGGGGAGCCTAAGCAAGGGTCGGGTCGGACGAAAGGGGCGAATCAACATCTTCCGCCAGCGCTGGGCGGCGGTTGTGTCGACGGACCAAGATGACAAAGTCTTACGACGCATCGGATGGCCGCTAGGCGCCCCGTGGCTGTCCCACTTGTTGTGTCCTGCACCGAGCCAAGAGAAAACTGGCGGATACGGCGTGCTGCCTCTGCCTCCAGCTGCTCCTGCGGCTCCTCGTCCACCTCGTCGTCCTTCTGCCAGCGCTATGGATACACCTGGTCCCGAGATTACTTCCCACGGGTAGGGTTGAGACTGAGGGTGAGCCCTGGGTTTCTATATTCATTCCTTGGGGGCACGATTTGTTTGCCCCTCTCTGCCGCCTCCGTCCAGAGACCCGGCGACAAAAGCAGCCGTTATCCATAAAGCGGGGGAGGGGAGGGGGCGAAGTTTGCTGCATGCAGCTGGTTTCGGCCCCGGCACCACGCCCCAATACCGATGTATTTTGCGCCTCTGGCGCCAGGAGGCGCTGGGACAATCCGTGAGCTGATTCGCTAACCCCCTTCGCCTAGGTCTGAACAGGCCGCGCAAGCGGTGGTCTGATGACATATGCCGGTATCTGCACAGCCTCGGAATAGATGCTACGCCAGAGAATTGGTGCCAATTTCTATCTGAGCATCAAAGGCACGATCTTGAAGCCGGATTCGTGCACATGTCGTACTGAGCGCTTCGTGCGCTGCGCGCCCATCCCCTTCGACGGGACAGCTTCGCTGAGGTGGCGTCCGTCCGTCCGTCCCCTTCACCCAGGTCACCCCCGGGGGCGCGAGGATATTCGCGCTTCTCGCGTCGCGGGCTCGGCCTGAGAGGCGCCCTTCTCCAGGGCGGCGGCGCGACAGGTGTCGGAAACAATTCAGCAACACTCACCACATGGTGTGAAGTCCCCCCCTCCTCCCGAATGCAACACTGGGCTCGGACCTCCCGTGAGCTTGGGTGTCGGACTCATGATGCGTATACGTGCCAACTTTGGACTGCGGGGGGATGGGGGAGTATTGATTCATTCTGTCAGAGGTCAGCAACATATGTACACGTACGCGGTTAGTTTCCCCTGGAGCGCGTGTCAACGCGGACGTTCGTGCAGGCAAGACCGCGGAGGGCGTACATGTACATATGTCGTTGCTCGCCCATTCTGTTCCCTCAACCGGAGGCCGCGAAAATGACCGCGCGTCGCGGGGCGTGATGCGCGGCCTTAGGCGACCTGGCTTTCGTCCGACCCGAGATGGGCGCGCTCCGCCTGCCAGGTGAGATATTCCGACGACCCCCCCGGCCAGAGCAAGTCCAGCAGGGCGAGCGCGCGCCCTTGCCGCGGCACCCCCCTCCCCCTCCAGTGCCGTCCCCCCCCTCCTCCTCCTCCTCCTCCTCCTCCTCCTCCTCCTCCTCCTCCTCCTCCTCCTCCTCCTCCCCCTTCCTCCTCCTCCTCCTCCTCCTCCTCCTGTTCCTCCTCCTCCTCCTCCTCCTCATCCCGCCTTCGCTCCCTCTTTGCATCCTCCTCCTCGCTTGCCCTTTTCCGCCTCCACCTCCACTTCCTGTCTCTCCCTCTCCTCGCCCCGCTTCCGCTCCCTCCTCACCTGTCCTCATCCCCGTCCGCCTCCTGCTTCGCCCTTTCCTTGCCCCGCTTCCGCTCCCTCCTTCCGACCTCCTCATCGTCGTCGTCTTCCTCCTTACTTTTCCTTTTCCTCATCTTCATTCATCTTCTCCTCCTCCTCCTCCTCCTCCTCCTCGCCCCTCTGCTTTTCCTCCAATCTTGCATCCCGATCGCGCTGCACGGTTCATATCTTCTTCTACCTTTCTTCCAACGAAAAAGGCGTGCATGTCCAACGTGTAGGTTTCACAGGAAGTGGGGCGCTGTTTCTCTCCTGGGGCCCTCTCGGCGGCCCTCTGGGAGTCCCATTTTTGGACCGCCTTGGTGTGTTGTGTACACGTTCAGTGCGCCTCATCTGCCCCAAACCTCGTCTCCCCCAGCACGCCAACTTCTCAGGGGGGAGTCCTGAAAGTGCACGGCGATGGCCTAAGCAGCAGCTCGGGGGAAAGCCGAAGAGGAAACGCACAAGGGGGATAGGGCGGGGGCCAGCGCACGGGATCTTGGGAAGCACAAGGAGGTCGTAAGGAAGTCCATCCAGAGGCTCGGTCGCGTCGGAAAAGGGAGAGACCGGGAGAATCCGCAAAGCAGGCCGCCCAGATCTCTACACATGACCGTTCCAACGTGTTTTTCTATGTGTCAGGTCCTGCAGGGCATACCGTAAGGAAGTTCCCGAGCGCGAGCTCTGCACAGTGTCGTTCAGGGCACAGGGCGGGTTCGAAATCAGACACGACGTTTTCGATGAGCAACCCGCAAGTTCGCGCCCGAAGACAAGAACACGAGTCATCTGCAACTGATTAGCATACTGAAGCCCCTGTGATCATCGCGGGCCAGCAATGCTCAACGGCAACATGCCCCAGCGGCATTCTGCAAGCCATGCACCAGGACGACGAAGTACATTTGCATGCATGGGGGTGGCTAGGTGTCGCGAAGGTGTATCCCTAATTTCGCATGGCACAATTGGAAAGGCTGTCACACATGGGCGTGGCGCTAAACAGGTCCATATGAAAACAGGCCCAGGGACCTTGACAGCTGCACGGTGAGAGAAACACTCAGGTAAGCATGTCGATCGGTTAGTCCTCTTGGCCACTGGCCAGTCAGAAGGAGACTCCTGTAACTCGGCCTCTAACGGCCTCAGTCCACTGTCAAGCCACGCTCGCTTATGATTATTGGACCCTTGGCTGTGTTTGAGAAGACGATCGCGGTCCCAGACTTCCATCATGCAAAACTAACAGCACGATCCCGCCACGAAGTCAGGCGGAGCAGACCCGTCTTTGTGCTTCTTGTTTATGCGCGTGCGCACAACGTGGTCATATTGCGAAGTGAACCCGCACATGTGACATACACACACCTATGTCTACACATGCATACATACATACATACATACATGCATGCATGCATGCATGCATGCATGCATGCATACATACATACATACATACATACATACAGGCAGGCAGGCAGGCAGGCAGGCAGGCAGGCAGGCAGGCAGGCAGGCAGGCAGGCAGGCAGACAGACAGACAGACAGACAGACAGACAGACAGACAGACAGACATGCATGCATGCATGCATACATACATACATATACACAGACACACGAGCAGGCGTACCGACGTACCATTACATGCATATTGTGCAGAGGGGACTGGGTGAGGATCCTGATCGTCCAGGGGATGCGCAGCACAAATGGCCAGAGGGGGGTTCTTTCTCCTGTTGTCGTCCTGCGTCTCTTGTTGGGCAATATTGACACGTGGCGCGCTCGCTCCCTGGCCTTCTGGGGTTTCACAGAGCTCTCTCCTCCAAAACGAGTCACGAGCAAGCTCGTCGGGCTACATGTGTCGACACCGTCGTCCAGTTGCGACGACGAGCCGAAGGACCATCCTGCGATTAGATCTCCTCATCATCCACCCTCAGGGGTAGCCATATGGTCACTATCCTCCCTCAGCCACTCAAGATCTCTCACAATGAAGCGTCGTCACATTCGTGGCACTTCCCAGACAGCATCCATCAGCACTCGCACCATGGGCGGGGCAGGTGAAAGGAACCGAGCAAAAAAACGCAGGCGCGAGATGGACAACGAGACCTGGACATGAATCCAGCACATTATAGCCAGAACAGTCTTACTCGAGACTTGGTCCTGTGCACAATTGCGGACTTCATGATTCAAAGCCATACGATACATCGACAGATGTGCTTGCTGAATGCGTCGTTCCAAGTAGGCGGGCATGCTGTCCCAAACGGCAGCCCCATAAGGCAGCCGTCGGGGTCGTCTTCGCCAGGGTCGTCGTCGCCGCGGTCGTCTTTGCCAGTTGCACCAGCGGGCAGTGGTCGCCATCGTCGCCGTCGTCCTGGTCATCGTCCCGCCGCCGCTCCCGT